AATTATTATTCAATCTCGCAATTTCCCCACACATATTTTGTCCCAGACGACTTCAGGAATATACCGACTCTTTCCAGTCATCTAACAATGCTAAATGAGTTCACACGAAGAGTGCTTCACCATGTGCAGCACGCGGTACGCAATGGGTTAAAATCTAAGCGCTCTCCAATACAGGGCCATGTTGTAAAGTTCTGTAAGGGCTCTGCGGCAGTTCGGTGTCGTACTATATTAGCCTCATCAGCAATGCGACCTGATTATTGTGCTACTGAAGGCTCCGTAAACACACTCAAAAGTAAACAGGGCTACTGAAAACAGGTTGCAAATGAGAATTATTCTCCTCTCTCGGCCCCGAGGTAGCTGAACCGCCTATGCTGCTCACAATACGTGAAAATCACTTTGCACAATAGAGTTGGTGCACTCACGACTTCCTTCACTGTTTCATGATTAAAGTGTAGTCCCTCGTTTCTCGCACTTTGTTGCACTGGAAAGCCTACAGCATGACAAAAGTACAAGTAATGTATAAGAATGAAACTCGTAGCTTTTCGCAGTTTTACCAGGACTACTTTACTTAATGACTCAGACTATAAGAAAAATGCTCCAAAGTTCTTGATTTTTCGGAATTCGAGGAAATTTTTGCAGTGGGACGTACGGTCTTGTTCGTCGCAGTTGAAGGAGCGTGTCAAGCAGGCTGGGTTTATCGCGGCGTCAAACCGCGCTCTCCACTAGTTGTTGAAGCGTGTAACATCACTTGGTGGAGAACGACTGATACGAACGACATGGTACAGTTTTGTCGCTTGTCGCTCCAACAGCTGGTGGAAAACGTAGCTGGCGCCACGTCAATCCATCTCCGCTTGACACGCTCCCGCATCCGCAGCGAACAAGACCCTAAGTGTTAAGTGTTAAGTTCTCGCTTCGCTTTTTTTTATTTTTTCCCGTACCTTGCTGCGATAAAGTGCAGAAAACCTGTCTCTCAACCTTCCATGTGAGGCTCCATTCATACTACTGGGGAATAGATGCTGCGCGAGGATGTTAAGTACCCATTGTGACCTTTTATGATCAGAGCTTCTTTTTTCCCTTCTCGTGATTATAAATTATCGGTATTTCCGATACCACAAATTCTGTTTGAATTTCCTTTGCTTCAGATGGAGGTCGATGCTGCTCAGGATGATTCTTCCCAAGCGTCAAGCACGTCAGCCTCCTCCATGACCATACAGTATTCTGTCGACGACTTACAAGAAAATGGTGCCAATTTAATTCCCGATCCAAAAGCTGAAACCATGAGAACTGAGGGGAAAATCAGAAGGCTTAATAGGCGCTTGGCCCTTGCAAATCTGCAACTTCCGAAACTGAGCACACCACAGGATAGTGTCGTGGATCTTCGCACGGAAGAGGTAAAAATGTCTATTTTTCTTGTCGACAGCACTATAAAACCACACTTTTTCAGGATAAATTAGGCGATATATCATGGTTAAAGAAGAAATTCCCGTCAATCAAGGCTGAAATAGCAAAGAAGGAAAGCACGTGAGGGTTTAGTTTACGTATAAGGTAGTTGACAATATCCACCTGCAGACTTACATCCATGTTTCAGAGTTGCCCATTTGCCGGCCAATGCTCCTCCTAGCAGTGAGTTTCTGCTTTTTCTATGTCTTTTTGACCCCAAGTTTTAGTAGACAAAATTTAACATTCCAGTAGATAAGCAGAGATGCCTGAAGCAATCCCTTGAGAAGAAGTTAGCCGAAAGAAGAAGGGCTGGGCTTGCGAAACGCAAGGAATTGTACATGGAGGATAATGAGGGTATGATAGAAGATGATGAAGAGGAGGAAGATGTTGATGATGACAATAAGAAGTTAAAG